CCATGGTGCTGCAATGAAATGAATCGAGGCTGCATTATGCATGCTCACACGAGCTACGCATCATTTGACTTTCTTCGAAATTGTTTACATTCCCAATGCCAAGATATGCTGTAGTGCACTATTAGCAAACATTCCCTATTCGAAACCGAAGGCTGTCAATTCACATATATCCAAGCTGAATACAAACATGTCCATGTAAAACAGTGCTGAATAGGATAATTCTGGAGTCACTGCGCTATCGGCATTGAGTACGTTCTAGTTTGGAGTTATGCCCTATTGATTTCGACTGTGAGTCACCAAAAGAGATTTTATTGGTGGTTGATGTACCCCTGTTTCATGAATCTTATTTTATAAATCATCTGATACTGATGTTAGCATTATTCGGTCCGGGCTGGTTACGAGATGGGTAGGCTGGCAGGCAGGCTAATATTCAGGCTGTTTGCTATGTTCTTCGTTCTTTGCCATTTGATCCACGTGAAGCACATATGTAGTACTCAGATTGCTTATACCAATTTGTTCCATCGACGCATGTCTTCTAGCATATACTTATACAATATGTGCCGCCAATTTGAGTAATATGCCTTAACCCAAATAGTCCTTATTTTTGTTCGCCTTTCTTTAAGATTGTCCAATGGATGAAGATCACATTTGGTCGCAAGGGTTAAATGATGAAGTCCGGGAAACTCAAGGTTGCTGTATTCCTCCAAAAACACCAGCTTCTCTAGCCTCGCCCACTGTTCCACCTGCTTTACAGGCACTTTTACCAGCTGAGCTGCAGAATTCGCACAACCCTTTGATGCCATTGCAGCACACATACACAACCTATAACCCATCACCATATTTCGCGGTTCATCATCGAGAGACAACTCAATACTTTAACACTGAGGATGTTTCCTTGCAATATCCCTACCATCAAGGTCTCATTCACCCACCATCAAGACAATATCATCACAGTTATGATGATAGTGCATATTTCAGGCCGAATCCGACAACTTTGGAATGCTATCGCAATTATTATGACTACGGACACTTGAATGTTGTTCAGTACTTGCAGCAAAACCAACAGTTTCAGCAACAACAAAATTACTATGAGAATATTCAGGACAATTGGAAAGGCACTTCAAATGTGGCGGGCTGTAGTTGGCTAGAATTCAGCATGGCGATGCACAATTTACATCAACCCGCCGCCAATCTTTCCCCACACATCCAACAAATGGCCGCCACATTTGAACAAAGACAAGGGAACAATTACGAAGAACCATCACCTGAAGCAGAAGTGAGTGGTGCATCTGCTGGATCAGAAGTGCGACATAGTTCCTGCAACCCTCCGCCAGCTGTGAAGCCGAATCTGTACTCAGCTCTGCTGGCCATCACTCAGAGAGTACCCAACATGTGGCATACACACTTCAGCAGTACAAGAGAGAAGTTCTCATCCATTTGCGTGGCAGGAGCGGATTTTGATTTCTTGAATTTGATGGGGCGTCCAACAATCACTCTACGATTGCGCGACAAGGCGGCATGGAGGGCGATTTGGCCCCACCAAATGGAGATGATTACCAGCAAGAACGGCAGGTAAGTAATTTCGATGTGTATCTTGGTTTCAGCCTTCCACGTATTGTCATGCCTGCAAACGTTCACCATTTAAGTAGAATGAATGGTGTGATTGACCATCTTTCTCGCAGGAGAATATTCCCCACCCTCACAGTCAGCGTTGAGGGCTTGAACGCCGATGAAAGGTACACGTTTTTCTTGGACTTGATGCCAAAAGATCAGAATATATGCAGATTTCAATCCGGCCGTTGGATTGCCAGTCAGATTCCCAAGCCTCCTCCGCCTAATCAAGGTGAGTTTTGAGCATATTTTGTTTGCCTTTGTAAATGCCTGCATAAATCTGTATTTTACCAACATGTCCAGATACTCTTATCTATGTGTCACGCAGCGTATGTGAATGGGGATCGAAGCTGATGGCGGGTGGAGTGGATTTTAAGCTCGTCAAGATCACTAACAACGCTTGTACGGCATTGCGCAAAAATCAGGTAATTGTGCTTACAGCTAGCGCATGTTCTAGCCCTGCTTCTACGTAAAGTGGTCACTGACTTGAACATGTCATTGAGGAGTTCAATTTAATTTTGCTATTTCCTCGTGCAGATATTTGCTCGCGGCATGCAGATCTACCTCCCGCGCTACCACATAGTGCGTCACGTGACATCAGAAGAGGCAGCAGCGTGTCAACCTGATGAAAGTGGAAGGTGTAGGGATTTTCCAGCAGACCTCAAGCATGTAGGCACCTACGTCATTCCAGAAACAGAATTCATAGCCGTTACTGCCTACCGCAATAAACACGTTTCTGACGCGAAGATCAGTATAAACCCCTACGCCAAAGCATGCAAAAATCGTCGGCGCTCCGCAAAATCGTCAAATTAGACAATCGCTATTAGTTTTCTCCTCTTGGGTCTGTTGTGACTGGGCAAGCGTGCAGACCCTTTACCGCTTTTTTCGAAAATCTACTGAACCCTACTTTAACGCTCTCGGATGCTTCTTTCACAGATAATTTGTGAGTAAATCAAAGGACGTTGTTAACATTTTCCAGTCATTCTACTTTGTCAGAATTGCACTGGCTTCCAAAGCAATTTGCGACTTAAAATTATCGTTAACAGACAAGTAGTTAATTAACTGTTCCAATAGACTTTATATTGCCAATGACCTCTTATTTGACCAAATATATTAGTGAAGGACAATTAGTTTTTCCATATAAGGGGGAGAGTGGACCACAAAACGACAACAGGATCTCACTTATTAGCAAAAAGTCTTTTAGTAGCAGTTGTCCTAATATATTAGAAATAAAAGTAATCAAAGGCTGCGATTTCGTATTTAAAGATTCCAAAATCAACAACACGCCTTGGCGAAGACCCATTAGCCAACATGCGCATATACTTGCAGTCAGAATTAACCTCTAGTCACGCCATTAAACAGGAATTAAATCATGAGCATTTGAGAGTACGAAATTAAGCAACTCCATTAAGGTTGAGAACTGTTCCATCAGTGAAATTAGAAAACAGAATGTGCAAGCCGAATAAAAAGGAACCTGAGCAGCTTGTGTGAGACTTGAAAAGTTGGGAAAACAATTAAGCATGCATTGAATGGATTTTAGTACGTGGGCGGATTTTAACGTGTTTTTTAATATTCATTAATCATTTTATCATTCCTCTTAAACAATTCATACTTCATAGGAGTGAAACAGATTTGCTGCACTATGCTAGATTGTCAGCATTAAAGGTACCTGGGTCTTCCCTGAATTCCCCATAGGCCACGCCAATTAAAGGTCCCATTTAAGTGCATTAGGTTCGGCGCTTATCTCCACCGCCTCGGTCTTTGCTGACTTGACATGGGTAGACTGATAAGATGGGGGTTATTTGCTAGTATTATTGGCAGCTATAAACAGGGTAAAGTGAGCGGAGTTATGCTAGTTGAGTGTATGATCCTTTCTCCTTGGGGGCTGATGATATCTGTTCTGTAGTAAAACCCGTGTTTCCTGACCGCCTCTCGCCTGGGAGATGTATTTAAACAAACATGGAATACATGGCCCTGGTCATTTTGAGCAACTTCCTTTAGTGCTCCTGCTACAGGTAGTCTGCATGTGCCATTTATGATGGTTCACTTTCTTCCATTAGTACGCATCCTCCACCTTCGGATTTGAGGGTAAATGTTGTGATGGACGGCTCTTGGTCGAATATAAATTGTGTACTAGAGCCCACTCAGTTTATTACTTTACATGCATCTTTGATGCACGAATGATGGAACTTGAGGCGTACTCGAGGCGGCAAAATCGGCCTGAATAGCTCTACTAAGCTAAAGCGGCGCTCCTCTGGAGACGTTAGACTGGCTCTGCATGCCATCTTATCTAGTTTGCCTTGCCTATGCTTGTCGTATGTATTCCCGTGCGATAATAAGGGCTTGTCTGATCCCTTTTTGTCTGTCATGGTACGTACTCTGTGCCGTTATGAGTTGCTGCTCCAGAGTTTTGTAAGATGATATCGGGTGGTACGCTTAATATACGATCCGCAACCAACTTGAATGGTGAAACTCCGATCGCTGTATAGGCTACAGCCCATACTGTACGCAATGCGGACCGTGCAAGGCCTAACTCCTGGTTTTTCAGTTGTGCATCCTCAGTAAACTCCTTTGCTAGTCCACTCACATCGCGATTCTTTCTTGCTACCTCTTTACTATCGTGCAGATGT